CTGCTGGTGAAGGGTGCCAAATTCGAGTGGACGGAAAGGCATAACCATGCATTCCATTCACTCAAATTTGCGCTGACCCATGCACCGATCCTACGCCCCTTTAACCCCGACCTACCTTGTACACTTGACATCGACGCCTCTGACTTTGCTGTCGGTGGTGTACTCTTACAAGGTACCAACGGTACCAACCTCCAACCGGTCGCGTTCGAGTCCAAGCGACTCAACCGCGCTGAGCGCAATCACTCCGCTCGCGACCGAGAGCAGCTAGCCGTAGTACACGCCACGCACAAGTGGCGGCACTACCTACTCGGCCGCTCGGTCACCGTCCGTACGGATCACCGACCACTCCTCTTCCCGCTAAAACTCGAGTATATGCGCTCCCGCCACCACCGGTGGGAGGAGCAACTCGCCCAGTTTAACCTAAACCTTACGTACAGGGAAGGGCGCTTGAACGTTGTACCGGACGCCCTCTCCAGACGACCGGACCACAAGCCGGAACCGCCCACTAACCAACCTGTCCTCGCAGCTGTCTCATCCCTGATCCCAGACCGGGCATTCTTAACCGATGTCCGACTCGCTACCACCGCTGACCCCTATGCCCAGATGGCTGTCTCGCGCATGATCTTGGCTGACACTGCTTTTGCCTCGTTCTCGCTTGACGATGGGTTATTGTACCATTCCGGCCGCTTGTACATTCCACCCGTACCCGCACTCCGTACACGCGTACTCCGTACTAACCACGACTGTAACGTCTCTGCCCATCTAGGTATGGACAAGACCGAAGAGCTTACCAACCGCTCCTTCTACTGGCCGGACCTCCAAGCGGACGTCCGGCGTTACATCCGCTCGTGCGACGCGTGCCAACGCAACAAGCCCAGCAACCGCCGCCCTGGGGGACTTCTACAGCCTATTCCCATCCCCCAGGAGCGGTGGGAGCAAATTACTATGGACTTAATTGCAGGCTTACCCAAAACCGCTCGAGGAAATTCAGGCATTGCTGTTTTCGTCGACCGGTTATCTAAAGAAATAAAAATCGCTCCCATCTCTGATGACACCACTGCGCCCGCCATCGCACGAGTATATTTTGATAATGTTTTCCGTCATAAGGGACTGTCACGCGTCATTATCTCTGACAGGGACCCCCGGTTCACTTCTAACTTTTGGCGGTCCCTTTTCAGGCTCCTTGGTACCAAGCTCTCCTTCTCCACCGCCTTCCACCCCCAAACCGACGGTCAAACCGAGCGCGTGAACCGGGTCATCGAGGAAGCCCTCCGACCCTACGTCAACGCCCGGCACTCTGACTGGGACCTCTATCTTACCCCTATCGAGTTCGCCTATAACAACTCGGTCCAACTCTCTACCGGTCACTCCCCCTTCTACCTCAACACCGGTAGACACCCCCTCACACCTTCCAACCTCCTCAAACCACCTACCTCCGATACCCCCGCCGCCGATCAATTCCTACATAACATCGCGTACTCCCTACAACACGCCAAAACCCTCCTCGCACTCGCCCAAAATCGACAAAAAACAGTACGCCGACCAACGTCGCCGCCCCCAAACCTTCCAACCTGGCGACCAAGTATACCTATCCACCGCCCACCTGTCGCTCCCTACCCGCTCCCAAGTCCGCAAACTAGCACCCAAGTACACCGGGCCATTCACCGTACAACAAACTATCTCCGAGGCTGCGTACAAACTAGACCTACCCGACCACATGAACATTCACCCAGTCTTCCATGTATCCCAGCTAAAACCCTACCACCCCAATGACCCAAACCGCTTCACAGACCGCGACCCACCCCCACCACCTCCGGTACTCACCGCCGACCAGCCCCAGCACCCTATCGACGGCGTCGTAGACGAACGGACCGTAGGCCGCGGTACCCGGCAACGTACCCAGTACTTAGTAACCTACCGCGACCAACCCTTCCACGAAGCCCAATGGGTCGACGCCCACTTGGTCTGGCAATTTAAACCCCAGCAACGAGGACGTTGCTGATACTTAAGGGGGGGACTGTTGTAACACGTGGATCATTGTTAGGCATTTATAGCCGTAGATATAC